GATACCCACGTTGTGAACTAAAAGAGAAGGGGTTTGTAGAGAATTAGGATGCTGAAGAAAGGTCGATGTTTCATACCAATTCTGAAAGATCACGACATGATTTGCTGCCACTGTCGTTCACGTTTCAGATCATCCTCATCCTATCCTGACGCGATTATTTCGGTTAGTTTTCATCAAGTAAAAATAAGAGAAAGTTCGCAAATGAGAGTGGAGTGGCAACGAATTTTACAAATACCACAGCTATTCGTAAGTAATTGCGAGATAGGATGAAACCGACGAATAAGGAGTAACTTCGAAGAACAGAGCGAAAAGTTGCTATTTCAGTGGGTTCATTGGTTATTTTCCATGAATTTGTCCCCTGAAATCATCGCGCTCCATCCTCTCTACGGTAAGCGCATCCCACACCAGAGAATGAACTAGCTGCTGTTCGACTTCAAAAATTCGTTTCGCTAACAGAACCGGTATTTTCAGTCACTGTAGTGATGTGGTAATTAGGAAAACGGGGGCGAGGTGGCCCAGTGGTAAGAGCGCAAGTTTACTGACAGGAAGGTTCGAATCCGACCTCTGCCTACTGACTTCCCCTGGGCAACTAGGCTAGCAGTATATGAGCCCTCGTGCTTCCTTCGGGTGACATGACAGCTAGGTACCGGAGGGGTGTTACAGCTGAACGATTCTGTTACCTTATCTTAATTAGAAAACCTAAAACAGCTCTACAGTTGTGTCACAGGTCGTATGCGAAAAGCTCGTGAGGTGAAAATAAGCAGATTTAGCGGTATGAGACGTTTCTTATTAAACACCAATACAGGACTACGAGGTACATTTTTTTGATACTCCTCACCAAACTCTGTAGATGTTCCACTACCAACCCTCTCCACATACATCCATGATTTCTGTATCTGGTCTCACACGATACTGAAGATCTTGTTCCAGTTGCAAACAGACGTAGTCTTTCGGGCCTAGCACATTTTGGATGAGTTATGTCCGTGGGTGTCAAGCACTCTACAAATCAAGTATATCGAAAGCGTAAATCAAGGCGGCACCATGGGGAATCGTCGTTTCTGAGATTTGCTCTCCACAAAACACGGAAAGAACTGGGTTTCAAGTGTTTCTATCTGGAGATCGACCGTGAGTTTTGTGCGACGAAACTAAATGTTGATAACCTATTACGTCAAGGCCTCGAATCAGCGGAAAAGCGCGGCTGTTTGCCGCAGCGAGAACACTCACAATCCTCCGGATTTTCGCAGTCCATGTGTTCCAACCTTACGTGGATCCACCTTGGTTGCTGCGTGCTGCGGTATCACTAATAACAATGTCCCTGGATATACACAGGGCTCATCCCGTCAAGATGGATGACATGGGCGAACAGTCGTGAAAGCTGACATCATAGCTTCTTTGATGCTCTTCACCCATTAATCAATCCCCACCATAGGCGTGGCTGTCACAAGCATTCTGAGGTGTCCATAGCTCCAAATGCCCAGTCAACAATGAGGAAAGAAACTGACAATACGATCAGCCGCCGTTTTTTGCAATGTCACAAGTGCAAAGGTGGATCATGGCGATCTCATGCTGGAATGTTTGAGTTGATCAAGTGAGTGCGGGGAATGCATGTACAGAAAGGGAAAGCATACTTTCAGTAAGGGATTCACGCAGTGCAATTTGAGGAAGTGCGGACACAGCTGCAAAACGGATGGGATGTTCTGACTCTGGTTCGGTTTTGGTTTTATTTGTTGTACGGTAGTTTAGACACGCAATAATGGATACTTGACTGACTCGTCAACCAGACAAGCTGACGAGTGAGAAAGATTAGGTTCAGTGAACGAAGAGCTACAGAGCTTACAAAGAGGGGCGTTTGTCTGAGGTAATCTAGTATGAACTTGGTAAAAAATCTGACCCACAAGGTAGTGGGAGGTGGAGTCTGACTCAAAATTTCAACCGGCAGGGTAGGGTAGTGTCCTTGGGGACCCTGCCATGAGACATTGACCCATTTGGCCAAAAAAAGGATTGATCTAGCCCGGAGATGCAAGTAGCAGATGTTTCATGAATGTCTCATTCACACTTTACTGGTCTTTAGGGCGTATTTTTTTAGCGAGACGCAGCATCACTGATTCCTTAAATATGTACATTGTGATCGCGTGCACCAAACAACTCACTGTCTTCACACTCGTCACACTAGACGCTACGACTTTAATCGTATAAGGCCTCGTTGCATGATTATTCGTAATACATAGATGTCTAACCAAATTTGACCTTCCTGGTATGTTTGACCACTCGTGCACCGATAGACAATGGAATCGAATCCCGGCAAGTATTCCTTCAGTTTATTCCATTCGGTGAGTTTTCCTACTGTGCCCCAACGGAGGGGATCGGCTTGTGCAATGTCAAGCCCTACTATATCAGCTGCTAATGACAGGAATGTGACCAAACAGAAAACAGTACTTACTCACCTTGTATCTCACGTGGTCGGCAAACAGCGCTCCAAGGAGAAGTAGTGTAGGGTGGGTTAGAAACCATGCACAACCCAGCTACACGAAATGAAAAGAGGATGAGCAAATTCTTACAATGACACTAAACAGCATCATGAATTGTTGAAAGGGATGATACTTTATTGCAGAGGAATATGATATTCTTTCAGGTAATACAAGAATCAGTCGGCAATGTTACCCCATTAAGTGGGTAGGTGACTCCTAAACAGATAGCTCATTCTGCCGTCGAGTCGAAAATTGCCATTACAAGGGAAACTGGAAAGTAAAGTAGGCGGGCAACAAGCAGAGCTTACGGACAGAGATATGGAAACGGGAAACAGGTACACCCAGGATGGGCCGACTGGCTTATGGATGTACGCACGCTATGGACGGCGACGCGCTACCACACCGGAAATTGCAACTAACCACTGATGAAGGGTGAATTGACCGTCAATCAATCAGTTGATCACTGCTAATGTTTACTGGCGGTGCGTTTAGTACCGAGGGGAACCTCATTCGCACAATTGGTGTTGGTTGGCATGACATCCGGAAGAAGCGAAACTCCGTATTTACCCTTGGCCATTATAGGGTCGGACAACCATCTAGCATCGCATTGCGTTGACAGGAATCTGTGGACACAGGTTACGATCTCAGATGAAACCCAGAGATAGTAGCACTATCACATGAGGACCAGAAAGTCAACCAAATGACCGTCTGTTGTGGGTTGTTTATTGAGCTTGACTGCTTATTTCACAATCAACCTCTTCTAGTGGCCACCCCTGCATAAAAGGCCTAGAAACAGAAACGGTAGCTAGAACTGGTGCTTCATCCTGCACTGGGTCATAAAAGCCAACGAATATTGATATGATCCAACTCGCGATCAATCAAATGGAGTGCAGCAAGCAAGATACATTAAAGTTCTGTCCACGAACAGATCGAATAAAACCGTCCCGCTGTAGTACATTTCCGCTAATGATGTATGACGGAACCATGATACCTCCACGCTGGCGAATTCCAGACAGGAGCAGTTAAGAATTTGTGCGTGGAGTCTAATCACGGGCCTTTAGATCATAAGCTAATGCATAACCCTTGGGCCTGTATGAACAGATGTACTCATCCACTCTATGGTATCCGTTCGCTGAGCTTGGCAATTTGGTTGCCAACTGGTACAAGTGACATCTTCATTGCGTAGTCGATTAGCGGAGGATCGCTCAGTTGATTTCATCATCATCATTATCAGCTATAAGAACCTGATAAGCGGAGGATCGCTCAGTTGGTGTCATCATCAACATCATTATCAGCTATAAGAACCGCGTACTTGTCGTACAGTGATTACAGCTGCCACAGCTTCGTTCACCGATGATTTGTGGAGGTGGTGTAGGTAGATGGGCATTCGAGTCGGGATTTGGCATAACTGATGCGTGGACTTTTAAGTGGAGAGAGTAGGAATGGAGCTATGCATTGAAGGTAATAGCTTGGATGCACGAGGGCCATTGAAGACGCGACTGGGCCATGTCTGATGATGTTTATAACAACTGATTTGTCCGTCTGAAATTCCCCATCTAGGGAGACGGTAATGACCAGCGCAGTTAACTGCCTTTCATACTACCAAGTCATTGTTTGACCTCCCCTGGCTCGTTTTCACCCTTCGAGTTGAGTTGGTGTTAACGGGAGACTCAACTGAATCGCAGCTGAATCTTCCCTATGAGCAATATGTTCCGTCTAGAAAATGTGCCGCGATTTCTCAAATATCATGCCAACTGGAACAGGAGGCAGCATTTGTGCAGTGCATTCAGTTGAAGAGGATCAAGGTATTCAAGGGGATTCCTTGAATTGCAAGTCACAGATAGGGTACCATTAATGGACAAACCATTGGCTCAGGCATCATTACTGAAATGATATACAGAGGTATTAAAGGGATCAAGGTATTCAAGATCCCTTGAATTGCAAGTCACAGATAGGGTACAATTAATGGACAAACCATTGGTTCAGGCATTATTACTGAAATGATATACAGAGGTATTAAATTCCGAAAAGAAAGCGTTGGATACAGGAATAGTCAATAAGTCCATAAAATAGATTGGCCGAACACACTAGAGGGCGACTTAGGACGGACGGGAGTGGACGAGATATGTGTGGCATCCATGCTTTGTGCCATCCATATTGAATGAAGTCGTCAACACAGACGCCCTTATGACGGTGCCCCTATCATCACGAGGTGAGATTTCGCAACACAGCACAAGTACAACCCCCAAAGAAAAGATGCTGATGATGACAAGCTTACTCGTGGTGTAGATAAGATTCCCCCACCATTTCAAGTGCCACTTGACGATCGAAGCTGCGTATAGATTATGGAGGAGTTAGGACATTCTACAAATGTCCAGCGAAGGGCAGTTCGTCGCCGGAATCAGGATCGACCAAGTAGAGTAGGCTGAGATAGCTAAGGGATTTTCATTCCTTAGCTATTTCTTTTCTTGCGCCCGTCACCACCATGGTTGTTCCAGGGGAATTGGTACAACGAATCTTAAATAGTTCCCAGTTCATCCGGTTTAGTTCCCATTGAGTGTTCTGAAATACTTCTGAAACTGAATAGCTCCAAACTTGTGTCGCCCAAGAGGGAGTACTTACAAAAGAGCTGATTGGATGGGACTCGTTGCACTAGGTGTTTTGAGTGCTACACCGAATGCCAGTTTGCTATATGGTTTCCATCTTTGTGAGGTCCAATATTAGTGAGCGAAGGAACGTTGCCAGCGTTCTGCCAAGGTTAACGAAGACTACTGCAATTCACAAGTGCAAGATCCGGCGGATTGTGTACGAGTTCGATCCCCACAACAGTTGGTTTGGTTGTCACATATTTTACTATATGCATGCGGCTTATGTGGACAAAAAACTACAATAGGCATCAAGTGTCACTACTCCAACCCCACTGACCAAGGTAAGACTGAACGTGTTCCAGCCACTATAGTAGTCTAATATTTGCCACCAACAAATATGAACTGAAATGAACGCTCGCAAGTTTAATGTTTAGCTTCTTGGTTTAACGGTGCAGGCTCTCTCGGACGCGATTGTCTCCAAAACTTGCTGATATAACTGCTGTAGAACTTTTGGAAAGCCGTTAGGCACTGATACCGTTTCCTCGCGCCAGCCAAGGTAAACAAGAGAGCTAAGATGATGCCGAGCAGAGACAACGACAAGCAAACAATTAGGGCTCTACTTGAACCACACACCCTAAGCTGGACCCTCAATCCTTCTCTGGCTTTTTAGACTATTCTGAAAAGATAACCTGAAGTGAACAACATACCCATCCACAGTTTGAGTTCACTTTTCGTGTTTGTTCCGATCGTTGGTGCCTTGACAGCCGAAGCAAGCGCATTGATAGGGTCAAACCAATGGCCGTTCGGGTAATCGTGAGAAGGGGTGCAAACGACGAATCCAGTGTGATAGTTCCCAAGTAGGTATGTACTATGGAAGGTTGCTGATTAGATCCAGTGATATCCATTCCGGACGACAACTGAGGGAGATATCTCGGGACAGGGACTCCTAATCCAGCCCAGAACCCCTGATGTTCTTCCATGGGCCATTGACTCGGTCCTGTATACAAGGGATCTTGATAGGCTATTTCCTTCAAAATATACCAAAAAACCTGAGGGGACGAACAAGAAACTGATCAGTGATTTCAGCTGAAGAACTAATGCTCGTAGGTTGATTGCACACAGGGTAAGGAAGCACTGGAGTGGCACAGTCTGTTACTGAATTTTTGTGACAGTCACAGGAGACATTCACAGGTAAGCATGACATTAAAAGTTTTAGAGTAGTTCCGGAATGATGAAAGCAAAGGCATGCCCTTCAAAAACCCAAAACTAAGTTCTGATGCGCTTGTTATGGCGAGAAACAGGAAAGTGGATGGCATTTAGCCATAACAAAGTGAGATGGTATGCCGTGTAGCTTGCTTACGCAAAACAGAAAAAATAGCGGGTGATTTGTTGTTTCAGAACAATGGATACAAAAAACAATTTTTTTTAAAATCAGACTGTTGCTGAGGATGAGTTCGCCAGATAAGAAACACGGGGTCGTTGTGTTTCTGTGATAGTACACAGTACAAACTGGCAGGCGAACCGAGCCAGTAAGAACTGCAAGTGTATATATAAGGCATTCAACGCCAAGCATGTAAGTGCGATCAACTATGAGTGCAAAACGATTGTTCGAGAGCCCTTTACGTCCTTAAATAAAAGTCACAGCTAGTTGGGCAAAACCAGGTGATGATGCGGACATGATCTGTGTTTCGAAACAAGATACCCGAGCTCAATAAGTCCCCAAGTAAGTAGTCGGAGTGAAGCGGCAGATGGATAAACTGATATCTCACGTCATCAGTTGATGAGACTCTCCCACTCGAAACTGCTCAGTATTCCGGTTAGTGCGATGGCTTAACCACTCGCTCTCAAAGCAAAGAACCATGGTGTTTATCTAGTTAGTCATCGATATTTATGAAGGACCTGGAATTTCAACTCGTAGGACTAAGAGCCCCCCACCCGCACAAATGTGTCCACAGTCTACTCCTATCAAAGCCGCTAACCTTAACATTTGCTCTACATAGTGTACCATAAACTTACGGTATAGCAAGGAGATAACGGCAGGAAGTCAGTCAGACGTACCGCGGTCACATATTGATCATGTGATCAGTTTTATTATTGGCGTTGGTCATATCGTACACTTAAAATCAACCAATTAATTCAGCAACTATAAACCATGAACCATGGTCACACTGGTTCAAGCTGTTACAGTTTCGATCACCGGAAAGAGGATACACAGCTAAGCCTTGGAGGCGATGGCATGTTCAGTTAGTTCAGGATGAACAGATCGAAATAGGTATAGCTACAGAGATCGAGATAACTAAGTGGTGGAGGCACGAGCCTACTAACCGAGAATACCAACTTCAGCATATCGATTGCTCCTGTCTAAGCTTGGGCAGCCTGGCAGTATTTCAGCCCTTGTGCTTCCTTCGGGTGGCGTGGAAGTCGGATATCGAATGAGTGGTACAGCCGAACGAGTATTATTAGTAAGGTATAGTTCCAATCTGTCCATGATTCTCCTTCAGACAATCTCTACCTTATGCCTCTGATGCGCCCATCTTTCTCGAATAAAAGTATATTCAGTTTGTTGCAATTCTTGTATTACTTTCGGAGTCTCAGCAATCCAAGTATCGAACTCCGACCGTTTCGATTTTTGATACCCTGTGGAAGTTAGCAAGCCTGAAACAGGAATGACTGTTACGCGATTAAATCGATCACAAGCCCAACAAGTAGCTATGACATCATTCATTTCAGACCATTGCCTGGACCACCCTGGTGTTGTTACCTTGACGTCCCTGCACAGACGCCAACGTCAGGGCATTCTAATAAAAAGCTGAAAATAACTTAGTCGAAGCAAACCGGTTTGGAGACGAAACACAACGCAACCACGGGAGAGTTACCTTATATGCTGTCCAGTCTCTTCGGAGTCCGCCCAAAAGTTGAAAAAAACGATGAATGAAACGGACAGCTCGTCATTTGGAGGATGAACTGAGAACTCTGGATGGCATCATTCCCTAGAACACCGTGGGATGCACACTTTGTTTCCCTACGTAGTACGTTAGACTTGCGAATCCAGAGACATCTTGAAAAAATATCGAACGGCACATCACTTGCGCACATCTAGGAAACGCCTTGCTGTGCGATTCGCGAAGCTGGCCCAATATTCGCCGACGTGGTTATTTATAGACCCAGTAAAAGAATACAAAAAACAATGAGGAACAGGACGAACCTCTGGGAAATAATTAATAGGCTTACCCACCTGTATCAGCAAAATACTGTGGATAAGACGGTTCCAAGATAGTAATCGACCAAAGCGGAAAATTGATAAAGATAATGCGAGACGTCGATTAGTCGGTGGCGAGTTTGAAGGAGTTGTGGGGCAGCACGGTTGTCGGAGCTCTTGGTGTGGTCGGTGGCCACGCACTGATGAGCCTGTCAACTCGGATGCGTGAATTATTAGCAAACGGAGCATAGCAAATTGATTGAGCAGCGCCAAAAGCTCAGCAATTTGACTGTAGAGACCATCAGCTCCGGATACCGGATGGATAGGTTTCAAACCATGTGATCCTGATTGTGCCAAGCTTAAGAGGGAGCCAAGGGTAGAGGGGGAACCATTATTGTTGATAAAGCTTTTTAAATATGCAATAAGAATACTACGTGACAAGGGTGGTACAATAAAATCTATAGCTCACTGCCTATGTTACAGGGGTGGGCCAAGAGCGATGCACAACCGTGGATGGTGTCATGTCTGCACAGTTTTATCGATTCGGAATTGTCCGGATCATTAACCAACTGAACGACTGAAGAGAGCACAAGCGGTCGTGCACTGAGACCAAACAGTTGTTCAGTGGACATGATTCAGGATAAGATTTGGTACCAAACAAGCATAAACGACTCATCAGAAAAAAAACCAGATAGAAGGACGAGTCCAACTTGCGAGACACTCCAGCAGATTGGAGAAAAGATCTAGTGGTCCTGAGTACCTTAAGTCGTGTGCTTCAAAGAAACTTTTATTTCCAATTCACACGGTTTCGAACTCTGAATAACTCAGTTGTTAAGGTGCGAATCTACCAATCAGAAGGTCCACGGTACTTAACGTTGGGTTCCGGATTGCCCCGGTCTGGGTTCGGGGAACCAGATTCCCTTCGGGTTGCATGAGAGCTATGAAACGGAAGGCTACAAAAGCTGAGCGGCTATGTTATTATGGTTCAACTCACATTTCTCGTCTTTTAAACCGGCAAATGTGACTGTAATGTAACTGTTCGAACAGTCTGTCATTCGGTCGCCAAAACATTAGCTTCAGGACTCCTGGTTTATGCATGTTGAACGTATCTGTTGTGTCCAATGAGTGGCTAAAGTGAATATTTGTTTACGAACGCTTGCTTTGGTGGTTGAACACTCTCTTCGACGAGTTCGGCAATTGACTTGCAAACGTTTCGTCATCATTCTAGGAGACATCAACAGTGCTCGGCTGGGTGGATACTTTCTCCCTTCCTACTTGTGAGTATATAAGTTGTGAAGCGTAATCTTGAGTTCTAACGTGATTGACTGTCATTTGGAGTTTGGTCAGATTGTCGCATCGTGGTCTGTCTTTTTTGTCTTCGACTGGTTCACTAAATACTATCCTTATGGTTCAATATCCTCTACTAATCGGTTCGTTTGTAATCGCAATGGATTGTGACCTGTCTTCCTACCGGTTGGCTGGTGGACATTTTAGCTTCGAGTGTTTTAGTTTTTTTTATATTTTCAGTCTGGATGGTCCATTACCCAGTTGCGGGTTTTCTTCCGGGGTCTGTTCGGCTGATTTTAACGTCGTTTTTCTGAAGAGCCTCTATTACTTTAGTCTGTTTGATTCTCGAGGCTGTTGGTCATTTAGGGTCATACATCTCGGCCCGTGTTTCGAATCTTGGAGATTTTTCCGCCCTAGTTTTGAGATTGTCGCATCGTGGTCTGTCTTTTTTGTCTTCGACTGGTTCACTAAATACTATCCTTATGGTTCAATATCCTCTACTAATCGGTTCGTTTGTAATCGCAATGGATTGTGACCTGTCTTCCTACCGGTTGGCTGGTGGACATTTTAGTTTAGCTTCGTTTAGTTTTTTTTATATTTTCAGTCTGGATGGTCCATTACCCAGTTGCGGGTTTTCTTCCGGGGTCTGTTCGGCTGATTTTAACGTCGTTTTTCTGAAGAGCCTCTATTACTTTAGTCTGTTTGATTCTCGAGGCTGTTGGTCATTTAGGGTCATACATCTCGGCCCGTGTTTCGAATCTTGGAGATTTTTCCGCCCTAGTTTTGTTGGTTCTATTGGTGCGGCTCACAGTCAGATGGTTCTAGAGCACTTTCGTCCTCAGGGTCAGCCCTTGTGTACCTGTTTACTGGACTACAGGTGGTATACCACGCCTCCAAAGTTTTTCATTTTTCCTGGTCTATTGTGTTCCAGACCAATTCGCATTCCGCACACAGATGAGCAAGAGTTGATTGTGTTATTGCAGCAACTATGTGTTTATATCTTCTTCCCCGTTTGTCACAACCCTAGAACCGAATTTAGTGAATAACATTGGTCATCACCATCATATTAAGTTTTTCCTATGGTTTCGATGGTATTTTTCGCAATGTGTTTGTAGAACTGAAGGACACCCATATGTCTGTCATGTTACTGTAGTACCCTGCAGTGATCTCATCAACGCTTGCGACGCGTGGGAGTGTAATTTCTTTATCTAACACTGAGTTGGCTGAGTTGCATTTTCTGACATCCCTAAATGAAGTTACTCGGTAAACGGCTTCGTGGGGAGACTTCGTATAACCTTCTCACTTCTTTTATCTTGGAACGCATTTTATTGGAGTGTTTCGATTCGGTAGGACAGTGCCCGAATGCAATTCGGTTTGGGACAGTTTGAATGGTTGCCATTGATTCGTGTGAGCAGTCCATCTACGAACCTACGTTTGCATTATTAAATGTGGCAATACAGTGGTAAGGATATTTAAAAATGACAGTTTGCTGTTGACTTCTTCCACGGGGAAATTAATGTCAACGAAAACATCTTATTGATTGGGTAGCTCGTTGAAGCATACTCGGGAGAGATGGCTCAGTGGTTACAGCGCGAATTTACCAACCAGAAAGTTCGTGGTTCGAACTCGACCTCTGCATCTCGACTTTCCCTGTCTGGGCTTGAGCATCCTGACAGTACCTCAGCCCTCGTGCTTCCTTCAGGGGGCATTCGATTCAATTCATCAGCTATAAACGGTGTGACACAGGCACATTGGTTCAAGCAGCTACAGTTTCGATCACCGGAAAACGGCAAAGTGGAACATACAACCAAACCTTGCAGGCGAAGGCATGTTCAGTTTGCTCGGAAATTGAATAGCTACGCATTGATGACGATAACTTTGATGCACGAGCCCCACTGACTGCACGATTGGGCCATTTCCGGCAGCCATTAGTCACTGGTGCTTTGATTCCAGCGGTCCCCATCCAAGAAGCCGGCAGTCGCCCACCCGACTAAGTTTGCTGGTTAGTGTTTTCGTACTTCGTCGCCAGGTCCACCTCTCGGTCGCTTCCACTCAGCACAGGGCTGGGAAAAAAGAGCTCCGAGAGGCAGACGGTCTTCTGGCATGTCCTATGAAGCGTGAGTAATTCATCTTCCTACGACCATCTGGCGTACCTCAGCATTACTAATCCGATGTTCCCACCAGACCTGACCAATGCTGCTGAGACACCGACATCTTCCGTACGTCCTCTGCGCGTAGGGGCCAGGTCTCGGATCCATAAAGCAGTATGGATCGCACCACCGCAGTGTGAACGCTTCTCTTGACAGACCAGTTCACGTCATGTTGGCGCCATAGGTGTCGGAGGTTGGCAAAAGCTGCCCTGGTCTTTCTGATTCGGGAAATAATATCATCTCCAACCAGTCCACCGGGACTTATACAGCTGTCAAGGTAAGCAAATTTTTCTACCACGTCCATTGGCTCACCTGCAAACATGAGGTATAGGTTTGATCCCACCCAGTTTTGTGGCGGAACCCAACACTTTGCAGGTGTGGAGCGCATGCCATGGCATGGCACGGCAGTTAGGCACCGAAAGAGTTCTGTAGTTGAATAACTGAAGCTTACTCTTTTAAATTACGATCAAAGTGTCGTTTAGGTACGTTTAAGTAAGTCAAAGGTCGAGCAGTTAATGAATGTAGTCTTTTCCCAAGTATCCGTTGATAAGTCCAGGAGTATCCAATAGCTCAGTGGCCGCTGTCATAGCGGAAGATGGGTCTATGGATATAAAGAGTAAGCTAGCATTTGATAAGACCAGTAGTTCGTCCTCTTCTACTAGCCCGTCTTACAGTTTATCGAAGAATTGCTGCGCGCTGTTGATTGAACCTTACGATCAACTGAGGAGACATATGCCATTTCTCCAAGGTTCCTTTGAAAGGTTGTACGTTAACGTGCCTCGAATCGATACGTTTGGTCGCTTGTACGTCCGTTCTTCGTTCAATCGGTAGATCATCCATGTAACCATGATGGAGTTATGATGTCATACCTGAGTGGGTTTTTGTTTACTGCCGTTGCACGCGAATCAAAACATCAAAAGAACACACGTGCGGTGATGAAATGGAGGGCTGTAAATCGCTGGAGTTAGAGAGGATAGCAGACTGTGTACTAATAAACAATTTTGTAATATCATTGTACTGTCATCTTTTCATGATTAATTTTACATGACTTGAATCTAGCGGACGGGAATAGCGGTGGTGCTCAGTTGCTGTCCGAGAGAATTTTCTTTCGAAGGAAGTGACCAACGAATTTCAACAGTGGCATTTAACTGGTGAGAAGAAATGAGATTACACCTGAAGATAATGAAGCTTAGGTCCCAAAGACTGGACGTCGCAAAACAACTGATTGTATCACACGTAGTGTCACATAAAATGACCAAAGATGATTAGACAAAGCGTAACCACAACAAACTTACCGCGATAATTCCATCCAACAGAACAACACAGAAGCAAACTGAATGCATAGCAATGTGGTCAGAAGATAAAGCCGTCTTTCAGCACCATCGGCGCGCGAGACAGACGATCTCGCACCATTCGAGGTGATTGCACCAGTATTGTCCATAACTCCACCGCAGCATGGAGCACAGCAGATCTGACCAGTTCGTTCGATATTCTTCAGTTCGCATCCTGCGGTCACTGAAACGGTTCGGCCGTGGTTGACAAGTCGTTGACCAGATTCCATGAGTGCCTCACAACTGGCAGCACAACACATGGCCAAACGGACGAAGTAGAAGGCACATGCAACGGCCAGTGCGTAAAAAACCAGTAAACCAAATAAGTGTATCCGCAATCCAACCAGACTTCCACTTAGGGGCTCCTGATTCGGATTCAAAATAGTTATAATTGCATTGAGATTTTCTCTAGACAATGAACACGATACACCTTGAATAGAAGAAACAAAGGCAGTGTTTTGTAAATAAGTTATGTGAGCATTCAAGTGCCGACATATGTCATCGGGTTATCAGTGTTCAACACCAGACAGTCACACAACTTCGCTTGTGACGCCTACCAAATGAATTGCGAATCCAATGGCAATAAACATTCCGATGACACGACCTTGCAAATAAGTCAGCTCGACGAAACGGCAACCACCCGGTGGTCGTGGTATGCTACTGAAAGTACCCCACTGACTGGACTACAAGTACACATACACGCATTCGAACGTCGCCCAATCTAACCAAGATGAAGCGACCTCCGAAAAGCTCAGTGCAACTTCGGCAACGATTTCCTCTCTTTGGGTGAAAGAAACACGTTTAGGGACGGAGTTGAGGCGCCACCCTTTTGCTTATCGGCCCGGTGCTAACAAAGATATGTCATGGAAATGGGCATCCGTATTTAAGCATAAGTGATAGAAAAAACATAAATCATTCAGCCGTTAAATCCTTTCGGTTACTAGCTGTTGTACCACCCGAAGGAAGCATGAGGGCTGAGAAAGTGCAAGGTTTATTGGTTGTTGATCAGATGGCTGTTGATCTGTTCACCGAGCTTGGCAATTGGCTTGCAGACGTTTCGTCACCATACGAGGAGACACCATCAGTGCAGTTGGGTGGGTACTTCCTCCTTGCCTGCGTGTGTTTATATAGCAGTCAAAGGCAACCGTTACCTTCTGACGTGATTGGCTACCTGAAGTGTAACTGCTAGCCTTTGATCACGTCAGAAGATAACATCGTTCATCTAGTCATCTACTTATCAACTCGAGACAGATGTGCAAGCTATGTTGATTACACGACTCGACGGCTTAAACAGAACTGCAGGGATTCTAGCCGACCAGAGATAAAGAGAAACATCGACGCCACAAACGGTACTCCTAGAAACTGTTTACCTGAATAATCCAGGCGCATCGTCTGATGTCATTTATATGGCGCCTGCACACAACTCCAAGGACATAGGACGGCGTTTATTGGCTGCGCCTGAAGAAGTCACCATCAATTTGTTTACACTGCGTTCAAGATATTCCGCTGGATAAGGTACAGCAGCCGGTAGAATCAAATTTATGTGCAAATCAGAGCGCCTGATGGACTCCGGTCGATTTGGATTTAAGTAGGATATGAGGTTGACTGAAACCCGGGGACTGCATCTGACTGATGAGCTCAAAGAAGGGTTAAATCAGTCGTGGACTTTCTAAGAGTTTTCAGCAACATTGTGAGTAGTTTGCAACATATAAATTATGACCTAACTGGCCAGAACCACCACATCCTATGCAAAAGCCTCAGCACAACCAGGATCTCTTACATTCACAAACCTACCAAAGGGGTGACAAAGATAGTATGAATTTCCTAGCACCCAACCGAATCGCTTCAACACCGCAATCTTTGTCACACTTTATGATCGTACGGACATTCTGATATCCAAATTAAGTCATTTCTTTGCTTTAGCAAAATAAATGAGAGTACTTAGTTACCTGCATTTAAACCTTATTAGATATTAGAAGTAGATAAAGAAGGAACACTAGGGCTGAAATGCATGACGAGGAGGGGATGCCGTTTACCTCTCGCTACGATGCAATTTAAACACATATGGTTGTTCGTATTTAGTATATTCTTTCATACGGTTGTTGTGCGCTGTTTTGAGTCTCAGCATATTACAGAAATGAAGTTCCTACCGAACAGCCAGACAACAAAGAGCATGGGCTCAGATCAGGCGGTAACTGAACTAAACCATTTCGATATTCTCAATACCACCAAAAATGGTGGCTTTCGGTCCACTAGCAGCCGAGGACGAAAATCTACAAGCTCTATACTTCTGTCCCATTTGATTCCTAATCTTTCGATTGTGCGCGGTCTGAATACATTTAAAATCTATGATAGGGTCGGCCAATGTACGGTATCTGCGTTCACTTATCTGTGGGATCCTCATCTCATCGAGAAAAGCACTGTGGAAATAGTGCGTGAAAAGCAGGGTGACCATATCAAAGTGCCGCACGTTCTTTTGAGAGATGAATTGTGCAATCGACTAGTCGAACCCGCACAGCAAAAGTTTGGGACTTCGGTTTTCGCCTCTGAGCATTCATCATAATACAGTTGGATTCCCCATCAACAGAAATACGCACACTATCGATCAATAGCGGCTTGGAAAAAGTCACCCAATTGACTTGGTGTTACCAAAGAGCAACCAGTTTTCCGCGAATTTACTGACCGGAAGGTTCGTGGTTCGAACCCGACCTCTGCCTCTCGACTTCCCCTGTCTAGGCTTAGGCGACCTGGCAGTATCCCAGCCCTCGTGCAGTATCCCATCCCTTGGATGTCATGGCAGCTAGGCACCGGAAGCTGAATGATTCTTCTTCGATTCATGAATTTCTGAGCTTAATTTGGAGACAGGATGTTGATATCAGGAGTGCATATTCTTCGATCAATTGGAGTTGTGGAACCTTTTTCAAACCTTTTTTTTGAACCACGAACTTCCGAATGATCCCAAGTGATATGCCCGCGGGATCTGAATATTCAGGTTCAAGACAGTATGGTGCATGTTTAACCCAGTTGAGGATAGCAAACATTCTAGGATGTGGGGTGTCCCATCGTTATAAATTGTTGGATATACAATGCATCTTATCCAAGCCCATTTCGTATGATAAATCGCGACGACAGAAGAGCCGCATTTCATGGAGCTTTTTGAACAACTAAGCAAGCACGTGCGCTTCTGAAACCTTTAAAGCAGACCTCATCGTACGTGTGTGATGCCCAATAAAAAGTCCATGTGAACATGTGTGGCATGTGAGTGGGGTCCCTCCGTGAGCATGATAGCCTCACTAAGTGTTGATGACACCCGTTCAGCGTTCTTCGGTTGATCATTACAGTATTGTCAATACTGCCCTCCACCAACCCGAGAAATATTATAATCGCCTTGAGAAAATCTAAATATGCACCAAGACTTGTCTTACACAAAGTACCATAGTTATCACACACTTGTGCCATACACCGTGAATTCATGGACTTCTGTTTTCCTTGAAGAGGATTGTAGTATTTGCGCTGGTGGAAACACAACCCATTTATACCTTCAATCTCCCACACAGTTTACTCCCAAACCATCAAATTCAGATTGATTTAGTACACACAAACTGAAACACTTGCCTTATTCTACAGAAATTCATTTGATTAAATGTATTACCCGGATATCATAATGTCCAGCGCATCGGCTCTGTTTTGTGTATGTTAATTAAAGTGACATTTGCATGGATGCCATGACTGTCGGAGAACAGTGGGGTTTTCTGTTTTCTATAGTAATTCTGTTGCGTAGGCTAACTACTACATTGTGTTATGAACGAGGCTTTTTTCTGGTATAGACATATACAGTCAAATACCCTTGGGACATGGCAGGCTTTGGCATCTCTCAGACGCACAAACTGGGGAATTCCATATCATTGTCAATATACAAGGACAACGCGGTGAAGCGCTCAGAACACTTTCTGTATCCATCAAAGCAAGACCGCCGTCTAAGCCATTTGTTAAGCGCTGGGCTTATGTCAGGTGAAATTATCAAAGGATACTAGGTCAATCCCGCTGATGGTGCCTTAATTCGATGCAATACTTAGATGCGTCTGTTGTGTAGGGACCTCAGTCTTGAGAGTTTTTCCTAAGGATATCGGAACCTGTCGCACTGATCCAATGCTCTTCATCTTTTCTTCCATCTACTTTCTGAGCTTTCCTTCCCTGATGGTGTGATGAAATAATGTCCAGAAAACAAAAACAGCACTTAGGTAGGAACAATCAACCACTTGGCAAACCTAATGCTATATGCTAAATGTCAGCTTGTGATTTCCTGATGCGCTGATCTCGTGATTTCATGGTGCCCATATCCCGAGGTCAAACAGTACCTGCGAATAGTGCTCAGCGAGCCCTAATGCACGTACGACGATCAGATTAGCCTCTCGTCGTCAACAGGGATAGGTAAAGCAAGGAAGAGCAATTTTACATTCTTCTGGGGCCCATTCTCCTTGGAGGTACAGTACTGAGGCTGAATAGTGCATGAAGGGTGCTCACTTTTGCAGGTGCAGCTATCTGCATAGACCAGAAAAGTTGGGAAGTGACCACTGAACGAACCGACTGTGAATTGTCCTTGTCCCTGGGCAAGAGAAACTATGGCAATATTAAATTACACTGAGAAACAGAACCATACCATTGAAGATGGACATCTGGTAGAAATTGACACATCCAACCTCGGTATCGGAACGCAGCATGTGCTGCGTTCCCACGGCGAACAAATATAATCGGGCGGACGGATCTGAATGGCCCTGAAGTACCTTAAATGAAAGCGAGTTTGATGCACCACCTTAAATTAGATCTGAGATGCAACAATTCAGACTTACTAGTGAAAGTAAAATATGCAAGAAGTTGTCCGTTATGACGCTGGGAAAGCGCGGGGGATAACTGAACAGAAAACGTCATTCCATCGGTTCCCTTTCCGACCGACACAAGAAAGACAAAGAGACTGACAATGAACCACTCCATTCCCAGCTAAAGTGAGTGGAGGTATGAAGAACGACCGTTTGTTCCGAAGCGGCAGGTCATTCGGTATCGGAGTTTGTTTGTGCTGCGAATATATACATAAGTTATCATTCAGGGAAACAGCTGACAAGTAAAAAACCCTCAAAAACTTAAGCTTACCTACAATTCAAAAGGAGACTGCTGGGGCTTAAAACGCTGAATGAAGCAACTGATGCACAGCCTTCGTATACGAGAGTAGAAAACAAGGGGGAAATGGGTGACTCGGGAAGGCTGATCTAAGTAATCAGGTGAAATTCGATATCGCAAATCATGAGGATTTAGTGCGAAGTCTGCTTTGTGGACAGACGAACTGCACTGACAGATGGAGAAGTGAGTCAACCAGAAAAACACCAGAAAGTTCTGAAGCAAATTTGGTACTACGCAGACACCTGCCATTTGGCAGGGAGTTCGCACACAATGGTCTCATAGGAGATATAAATATGGAAGGAGCAAAATCCAGATTGAATACTACGAACGCCAGTGAGGCAAAATGACTGCTATTTTCGGACATTCATTCAGTGAGTGGCACGGAGAGGATGGTGGATCCCCTGCCAGATTCATCTGCCGTCCCACCTGTGAAGTAATGACAAGCGATGCTGTACGGTCGAGGAAGGGTAGCTCCGTGCCGTCTCGGCAAAACGCCAACAAACATGTTCAGAAAATGGTTATCAGTATCCCTCTTGCCTTTGTCGTTTCCTTTTAAGTCGTCATGGTTTTTTCCTGGTCATTATGGATACACACTTGGATTCATCTGGTTTATTCGAGAATAAGAATAGATCTGTTCCCCAGACCATTGTCCTCGCAGTCCTATGGCGTGGTTTCACCAAGTCGAGGCCGTTTTCACTACAAGACGTTTTACTTTTTAAGATAACAGTTTTTTTCGTCGTCCAAACTCTTCCTAACGAGGTAGCAGCATAAATGGAAGGTCATTGGAAGACAACGACAAACAAAATCTCTATGGCGCTCTTCGGGCTGTTGTCATTAGTAGGACAATAAACTCCGAAAACAAGATGCTTGGAGATTTATTCGCCGCAATGGAAATTGGTGAAATTTCACCGTCGCAGCTACTTCTCCAAATGTAAGCTGGCGGTGGAATCCGTGACACAACTCTGGCTTAGCAAACCTCCACCCGCCGCGTCCCACGTCATCAGTGCATTTGTTTAAACCACAGCCTACAGCAGCTAGCTCACACGGTGAACAAAATTCAAGAGACTTACGCTAGTCATCTTGTTGGCTCAGTCACCCATCCTACAGTCGCTATTTGACAGTTTCCTGACACAATACTTTCCGCCATCTGGCAACCGCAAACAAGATTTGATAAGTTAACTAATTGTCCACAGTGGCGCAAAATCAACAACCGTTGACCACGTTCACGATCTCGACTGTTGTGGCGTTCCAGTTCGTCTTGGTGCCGGTCTAACCAATCTTTTGCTCAAAACCGCTTTGTCCCTTCAAGCCGCGTCTCAATATCCTTTAAACACCCCAGCCCGTCAGTAACGGCGACGACCGTCTGTGGCTCTTTTCACATGATTGGTCGCTCAAGTAGTGTTGTGCCTTGTTGGACGGTAAGGCAACTCTGTATTGGTCCCTTGGCTTCCTGCTCCGCCCACTATGGTATATCAAAAGGCACGGTAGCTCTACACCGTCCTTTATGGAGACGAAGGAAAATTAGTACAACTGTATTTAAATGGTAGTCACAGTGTTCCACAAGGTCGTGCCAGAATCTCCGTGAGGGGGCGAGAAGCGTCGAGTCACAGGTGCTTGACTCAAATTGGCTGACATTCTGCCCAATCAGGACATGCTTTCGTTTGGCCCGTGTCCTGCACGTGATACATCCGTCCAAAGGATGTGCTCTTCGACTATTAGGGACGGCTGGCCCCCGAACACCTCCCCCTTGAGAGGGATGTTCAACCAACTGCTGCTTTGGACTCCACTGTGACGACTCATGGAGTTGCTGTCGCATTTCAATTCGTCGCTGAGGCTGTGTGCATGCCGATCTGGGATCTGGTACCCTCCACTTGGGAGGTATATCACGGCTGTCCGGTGTCCCATGCCACGTGATCCCCTCACCGAGCTGCAGTCTGTTGCCTGAAGATGGTTCACATGACGCGGCTGTGCTGATGATCTTACGTGTACCTCGTATGTGGCACAATCGACCCTGCGTCCACCGTGGAGAGCATTCCCCATATATTTGAATAAGTGGCTGGTTTCTGTGTGACTGTTGTGGCGTTCCTCCAGCCAGCCCCCTTCCTTAACTTTCAGGATAGCAGTAGAACGATCCGCCTGAACCTGGGACTGTACACTGAAGGTTCAGACCGCGAGTGAAACGTCGCGGGCTGCTGGCAGGGTTTACCGAATTGGACTGAAGTGAGAGGACTATCGGTGCCTGGCGCCAGGAGCCGAATAGTTGCTGCGTAGCGTATGTTCCATCTGGTCTCCGGTTTTGCCGTAACTGTGGCGACCACAAAATTGTCAGGATGTGATTTTCTCGTGAACCTATCGTGGCCATTTGCAGTTGTTACGTTGCAAACGGCATTGAGGGGTTCATCCTACAGTTGGAGCTCATTAATCCAATCCAGGCCCAAGAGATCAAGGCCTTTATAGTTCGTGAGGTGGCAAGTACCATTGAGTTGAATCCTCTTGAACATTACAGAACAGTTCAGCTTCCCGGTCAGTTTGAGGCTCCCACCAGATGCATTACGAACGGTGCACTTTGTGGGTTCCACTGGTGGTCTTCCCATTACGTTCCAGATTCGTTTTGAAATCAGAGTGAGGTCAGAACCTGTATCCGAGTTGGAGGGTAACTGGTGTGCCATTGATACATAATGTGACGAATTTACGTCGACCGGGTAATTTCATCCTGAATGTGGCGCTCATGGCCTCTGCCTGCGTCCTTTCGTCGGGTCGGTGTTCGCGTGAGCTCCTGAAGTTGTCTCTGCATCATTCTTCTTTGTGACCCTTTTGACTGCACTTACTGCTCCTATGGTTCCGGTAGGGACATTGGCGTGAATAGTGCTATTCTTCACAAAACCAACAGGGTGTGAGCGGTTGTGTTGGAGTTCGTTTTGCATTTGACTTCCTTTTGGAAGTTGCTTTGCATACCATATCAGGCTGGGAGAATTTGGAATGTCCAATCATTGCAGCATCAGTCTTGAGATTGATAAGATGCTGGCACTCGGTGGTAAGTTTCTGAAGCATCAATCCTGGATCCTGTTCAACTCGATTCAGTAGCCGGGTTCGAATATCTGCATCGTGTGGCGATTGAAGACCAGCCACAAAGATGGGACACTTGAATTGACCCCTGGTCATGGGGCTGAGCTGAAAGTGCTCGCATTCTCTGTTGACCACACCGGCATATGTGATGAAATCCTCAGTGTCCCTTTTGGTAATCTTGAGATACTGATAACGAATTTTGAACAAGGAACTTTGTTCACCGAATATTTAGGCCAGAAATCAGGGTCACGAGGGTGTTTGGGGTGTATGAAATTTGTGAACCCATCGTGTTCAGCTGTCCCCAGTTTCCGCAGCAACAGTCGAAATTTCCATGCATCGCCAAACTGAGCAAAGTCGGTTTGAAACATGTCTTCATATTTCTTGAACCAACCTTCGAAAGTTCGTCCAGATTCAGCATCGAAATTGAATTCAGTAATCGAGCTGGCAGCAGCATCTGCGGAAGAAGCCGGAGGCTCAAACGTTCTTGTCGCGCTCACCGACATACTGCGCATCAGAGATTCAGCAAGCCTCATTTGGCCTTCTTCTAGCTGCTTCTGTTGTTGCTGCAAAATTAATCGGAGTTGCTCTGCCGAAATTGCCATCGTGGGTTCGGGTTCTCGCCAGTTGTTGTGACGTGCTGGACGGTAGTGTAACTCTGTATCGGTCCCTTGGCTTCCTGCTCCGCCCACTATGGTATATCAAAAGGCACGGTAGCTCTAAAAAGCCCTTTATGGAGACAAAGGAAAGTTATTCCAATTGTATTTATAGGGTAGTCACAGTGTTCCTCAAGGTCATGCCAGAATCTCTGAGGGGCGAGAGGCGTCGAGTCATGGGTGCTTGACTCGGATTGGCTGGCATTCTGACCAATCAGAGCATGCTTTCGTTTGGCCCGTGTCCTGCACGTGACGCATCCGTCCAAATGATGTGCTCTTCGATTATTAGGGACGTCTGGCCCCCGAACAAGTAGTCTACCGTTCCTCGTAGATACGGTAACTCAAATCAGTGTGCTATCACACAAGAATCTGCTTCCAGACTATGCTTCTCGTTTGTTGCAATCCGTTAGCGTAAAATACATCACTACAGATGGCAAATGTTCCTTCACATGTGACCTCGGATTGCTACGTGCGTTAAGTGGATTTTCACTTTGGTCGACGTTTAAACATCCATCCTTGGAGCAAACTTTTCAATCCCCTAGATTTTCCTGGTCACCACACTGATTCAACAGTACAGTACTTCTGGTCGTGAATTACTGGTAGTTTACCTTGCTATTTGCCATTTCCGGTACTCAGGAGAATATAGATTATTTACCATTCAAAACGATCATGAGCCACTTACGTAGCCTTTACCGCCAATTCTGATCGATTTTGGACACCTGAAGTACGTTATCTAAACCACAGTTCCCAATCTACTGTGGACATTCGGTACACACCAAAGTCAGACAATGTTGGTGCAGATACCCTATACTGCCAAAATATCGACGCTTACTCTAACATGCAGTTTAAATTTACCAAACTGCTAAAACCTTCACAATCTAGAACCATTCTATCCTTTTTTCCATTTGAAGTTTCTTCAATGCTCTTACGTCTCCAGTCTGGAACCATTCTTATTCAAATGTATACCAGCACAGCTCACCCAATCTTCCACGAAGCTTTCTGACGGCTTGTTTTCGACCACATCCGTGGACTTCCCCACCCAAACCCCAGGGGAGAAAAGTAGTTGATTAGTGCACGTTTCGTATGGCCCCTCATGAA